ACTAGCGGTTCCCTTCTTTCACAAGAATCAAACTCTTCAACTAACCCAGATTCCTCGATACTGGGCCATCAACCCAAGAACTAACATGACTATGGAATGGCATGATCCTCACGAATCTGGATGTGACCTCCAGTTGATGGCAACATGTCGTGATACTCCACCAATTCAGACAATGTCGCAAGAAACTTGCCTAGGTCGCATATTAGGAAGTCTTCCATTATCCATTTGTCAAACAATGGTACTCCCTCCTTCACAATATTTTGTTCAACAACTAAGAGATAATCTGTACGTCACTTCGTCACCTGAACCTCTTCATTGTTTGAACATTCCACAAACTGAATACTCCGTCATTCGACAACAAAGTTGGAACAAGAACGAAGAACTAGTCCTCTCACCTGTCGCTCTTGTAAATGTCACTCCAGGTTATACAATCGCATGTCCAGGATTCACCTTAGTAGGCCGGACAATACCTTCAAGTGCCCCTTCCCTCGTAATTTTTTACAACAATAGTCTGCTGACTAATAACATCTCTGTTGTGGATGTTTATCGATACCTTAAAGAGAATACGTCGTGGTTCAATACAAAGTCGGGCGAACAAAGAATGGATGCTCTCTTGAAACGAATACACGAACCATTTACAGTTCCAATTACTAAGATCTTTGAACCTAGTCGTACATGGTGGTCTCTTCCTATGTCAATTATCAGTTGGATGCTTTTCGGACTGGGCTGTATCGTACTATATTGTGTTTTTCGATTTAACCCAAGGGCAATCTTTCGAAAGGGTTAATTATTCTATCTTCCCAACATTAATAATAAAAGCTATGTAAATAATTAAATCCAAAAAAAGAAAAAAAATATTCTCTTCCCTAGTTAATGATATCCAACCAAAACCTTGTTTATCAACTTTTAACTGATCCAAGTTTGACTGCAATAAAATCCATTCACATAGAAACATGGTCTCCTCTTCCAACACCATTAACAGCATTACATTACAACAGCATGCCAATCCAAACAAAATCGAATGTGTTCAAACAACAACAATGGCAAGGACATGGAAGCTGCTACCAACAACACTTACAGCCTCTGATGTCATTAGAATGTGATCCATCATTTCATCAAAACTATCGTACTATGCCTTACCCAGTACCACTAATGTCATTACAACCTCATTGTTATCATTCACCATCTTCTGATTCAATCAATACTCAAACAAATCTTTATAGCAAGCGGATATTCAATCGTTTTCATAATAATTCAAAACACCATCGCCAAATCAACCGACACAAATATTCTAAAAGTCATTCTAAAAGTAAATTCAATCTCAAACTTATTCATAACATCAACACAAATCCACGAATAACAGCAACAATACAAAACGAAATGAAAGAACCCGAAGAATATGAAACACCATCAGTAGTTGATGAATCTCCACTAGATATCGACGACATTATGCACACCGATATGATTGAACTAACATAAATCGTTGAATTGACAAAAATGTACATTTAGCTTTATAAACTGATCTATTCATTGTAACTT